TAGAGAGCTATACCTATAAGTATTATAAGTAATTAAATTATAGGGATAACCCTATATTCTCTCCTCTAGCTATTTATTAATAGGGCTTTTATAGAGCTATTACTAATAGGTATAAATATTATTTAGAAGAAGCTATAGGATATTTAATATCTTATAATTAATAACAAAAATATATTAGGTTTTTATTAATTTATATAGGTTAATAAATATTTCTATTAAGTCTTTTTTAATAAAGTAATTAATTTATTTAATAATATAAATATTATCCTTATTAATAACTTCTTCTAACTATTACTAGTTATAAATAACTCTTTCTATTTTAATAAGCTACTTAAGGACTTATATAAGATCTCTAGCTAAATAATATATAAGGCATTTAGCTATATGATTTTCTTAAAGAAGATTAAGCGGCAATAAAGTAATAATTAGATTAGTTTTTATTTAGTGCTTAAAAAACTATGCGGTTTAAAGTTATTTATTAAATTATAGAGACTTTTAAGCTAATATATATAAATTAAGCTAAGCTAATATAAGATAAATAAGTTTAATATTACTCTTTAGATCTATAGTAAGAAAGCTTATATTAATAAATATAACTATAAGTACCTTATTTATTTAAAGTAATTAATAATCTAAGTTATAGCTAAGAATATTAATAATAGTATTAATAAGGTAATATTTAAATAAGTTAATAACCTAATTAGCTAATTTCTAATATATATTAATACTTATCTTATATTAACCTAGAATATCTAATAGTTAATTAATCTAATTAATAAGGCATAGGGGATAATATATAATATTAATTAGGCCCCCGGCGCTAATATACTTTATAACGTATTATATATTATTATAATAATAATAAATAAATATACTAGGCCGCCTTATTTAATTACTAGTAATAGGTATATAATAATACCTATAACCCCTATAAGGCGAGATTTCTTTCTTAGGATATTTATATATATATAAAAATAATTTCTACTTATAGTATTATATATTATTATAATTTATAAGTTATAAAGTATTATAATAAATAAGATAATAATAAATTTATTTAAATAAGACTTTTAAATAGGGCTTAGCTATATTATAGTATTAAGGGTTAAGATATTAAAGGGGTTAATAATTAATACCTTATTTAAATAGGTATCTCTCTATTATAAGAAGCTACTTAATAATAAGAATAGTTCTATAAGGCTAATATGCCTAAGGCTATATAAATCCTAACTAATTAATAGGTATTTTAATAAAGGTCCGCGATTAAGACTAATAGAGGTAATAATAACTTAATTAGCTCCTTTTTTATCTTTTTTTTTCTTAAAACCTTAATAATATTTAGAATTAGTAATATTAATAATATAATATAAATAATTTAGTATATTATTACCCTAGAGTAGGGATTATATTATCTTAATTAAATCTTAGTAATTCTAATAGTAGGGCGCTATTATTATATCGGGGAAAATTACTTATCTAAGAAAGTAGAAAACCTCGGTCAGAATTAAATTACCTCTTTAATTAGCTCTAAAAACCCCTCGCCGGCTAGGCTTAATTAAGTAACTTAAATTAATAAGGTTTATTATATATTATATAACCCATTATATAACTCGTTATATAATACCTTGCGCATTTCCTCTAGTTATATATATGCCTCGCCGGGCCCTACCTTATGGCATAGATTAGGTAATTATCCCGGTTAGTAGTCGGTTATGTAACCTAAATATGTGACTTAGGGCCGGGTCGTTGTTATATATGCTCCCTCGGTGGGGTTAGGGCTCGGGGCTCGGGTCGGTCGGCTATAGGGTAGGTAGGGTCGGCTAGGTAGGTCTCGTGGCAGCGGTCGGTAATTTTAATAGTAATTTCAATAGGGTTACTAATATAATTAGTAGCTAATAGCGTAGTAGCTATAGGCCTTAGTTAATATATGGGTTATAGGTTTAATCCCTGGCCTATGTAACTTTTTTTTATAAAGGTTATATAGGGTAGGAAAAAGGGTCCTCTGGCTAGGCTCGAACTAGTAGCCTGTTTCTTGCGAAGGTGACTATAACTAAGGTTTAGGAACCACTGCACCACGGAGGTATTAATAATATAATATAAAATTTTATCTAAGGTAATCCTTTATAATATAGAGATATATCCTTTAGAATTTATTATACCCTCCCTACCTCCGGTGAGGGTATTATTATATTTTATTTTTAATAACTCTATTACTTATTTTAAAAAATCTAATATTGCTATTTTTAGCTATATAGTATAGTAATCGGCTCGCTTATGCAGTCGGCTCGCTTATGGAGTATATTAGTTATAACTACCTTTAGAGGATAATTTAATTTAAAAATCATAATATTAAGTAATAGAAAATAGTATACTTCTTATTAATCTTTACCAGCCCTTCCAAGGAAGCCAAGCATCTCTCACAACGTTATTCTCGTCCACAATATAAAACACAAAAAACGCCGCTGCTGTTATGCACACATGGTTGCAATACAAGTCCACCCGCTGTCCGACCCTGAACACATCATTCACCGATTGATCCTTTTCCTCGGTTCCCAAAATACCATGTTCCTGCGACAATCTCACGACGCCCCAGGCAGGATGGCCTATCACTCGTCCAAACCCTGAGTAAGCGCTCGGTTCTCGGGATAGCGCGATCACGCCGGCATTTACGAGAGCTTCGTTTCTTTCTTGGTAAACACTACAGACTTCTGTCGCCACATAACAGGCCTGGTCGCTTTCACTGACGAGACCAGTAGACACTTGCTGGAGATCGTTGCATGGGAAATTCCCTATAACATTGTATTGTTAGCTCAGGGTGCCACTGGGCACTCGCCGTTTTAAAGAGTGTTGTATACTGACCTGCATGCAATTCCAGCTTCACATTGGCCGGTATAGCGGTTCTCAGGCTCTCTACTACATGCGCAGTTGGTGTCGAGCCAATGGAGACAACAACATTTCGGTTGGCAGGGAGAAGCTTTGCGGTTTCAAGAACACTGGAGATTTCAGCCTTCAGCAAGCTTTCAGCATCATCGCGCGATCGACCACCGTATGAATGTCCCGCATGGCAGTAAATGCCGTAGATGTTGACCGCCGGCGATGCCTCGGCGCGTTGGACCAGACGTTGAAGGGCCGGGCTAGCAGTGGGCACACCGGCCCGGTGAGAGCCAAAATCAATCTTGATGAAGATGTCCCAAGGGTTTTGGCCAATGGCTTTTTCGAGGTGAGTGATTTGCTGCTCATTGTCGACCATGAGCAGAATGCGAAGCGACTTTCTCAACTCAATTAGCCGTGGGAGGATACCCCGGTAAATGGGTAGGCCGTAAAGGCACTGTAGTCACTGTTTAGTATTATGTTTTGGGTGTTGGGGTCATAGTATATTATTACCTCATCCAAGATGCCCTCCTTAACTAGGGGAAGAGCGCCTTTGATTTCGGCTAATGTTGACGCGATAATAGATCTATACTTGCCTTCTCCAAGCATTAATCTTGTGACCTCGATGGACTAGATTGCAATGTGAGTGATCGAAATATGATAATCTTGATAAATTATGGCCGCACCTTGAGTGTTTTTACATGAGGCCTAAACGATATGCCTAGATTCTCTACATTGCGGTGCAAGTTTTTAATGTTCTTTTGTAGCACAGGTAATCTGACGACAAAGGCCGGCGTGGGCAGCTCAGAGGCGGGTTTGCCGATGAATGCCTTTTGATTTTCCAATGAATAATCCATCATGAAGACGAGAAGATGTTCTCAATTCCGGGTTCGGTCTTCTGGCTCAGTTATCCCATCAAGGGCCGGGCTTCAACTATAACAAAGAACACAATCAATTCCGGGTTCAGTCAACAGATCAGATCAGGCGACGTACCAGACGGTGACATTCCGTTTTACAGTAGATCATTCGGCAAAAGCTCCGAACAAGCCGAACATGCTGGCCACCCTGGCCTAGCCTGGGGGCGATGAACCCCGTGGGGCCCCGTCTTTTGGCTGCCGAGTCTCCACTTCGGGATCTACGGCCAGAGCACCGACAATTGTGGGACTATATATGGGCGTGAGACTCGTGAGTTCAGCCCACACCTCCAACTCCTTTTCACAGATATTCGGTTCTCTCGACTTTCAAAACTCTTCCTTCGAATCTTTGGGAACGCATATCAACATGGCAGCTTGCGCGAGCGGTCTGGGGCGGGAGAATCTCGACATCGAGATAGCAACAAGAGCCCATCTCGACGTCAAGAAGGAGCAGGAAGTAGGCGAAGTCCTGCCTTCATACGATACTGAGATGAAAAACGGTGAACAGGCGGCAGTCTCCATAGAGGTCCAAGCCGCAGTGTCAGTTGTGGATGAGGATGTCCCCGCGAGCACATTGCGCGCCTAGGTGATTAGGCTCATTCTAACCACTGTCGGCTCCGGGCTCAATATGCTCTTTTCCCTCCGCAATCCGAGCATCTTCATTACGTCAATCGTCGCCCAACTTGTGGCCTATCCGTTGGGCGTGGCCTGGGCGCGGCTGGTGCCAGACCTAACGATCACGCTCCTTGGCCACAAGATGTCATTGAGCCCAGGACCCTTTAATAAAAAAGAGCACACTGTCATCGTCGTCATGGCCAATGCATCATTCGGAAATGGATATCTCTACGGCACCGAGGTATGTCTCTCCCCAATGATCAAGGAGCTATGAATGGGACTCACCGGACCTAGTTACTCCTTACGCAGGAAAAGTTCTATGGCTATGGTTTTGGCTGGGGCTTCCGCATCCTGCTCATCGTGTCTACCCAAATGATGGGCTATGGCATGGCGGGTTTGTGCAGAAGATTTCTTGTGTGGCCTGCTGCTATGATTTGGCCGGCGACTCTAGTCAACACAACGCTGTTCACCACGCTCCACGATAAAACACCGACTACCCCAGGAATGACAAGTGGTTGGGTTATTGGGCGTTACAGATACTTCCTTTACGTCATGATCGGGGCCTTTGCCTGGTATTGGATTCCCGGTGTCCTGTTCCAGGGCCTGAGCGTCTTTGCATTTGCGACGTGGATCAAACCAAAGAGCCCCATCGTCAACCAGCTCTTCGGGGGATTTTCTGGGTTGTCTCTGATTCCTATCACATTCGACTGGACATACGTCAGCGGATTCCTCGCTAGCCCTCTTATTCCTCCCTGGACTGCAATTGCCAACATGGTGGCCGGTATGTCTATCTTTGTCATTATGGGCGGCATCATCGCCCACTACTCAGAAGCTTGGTACTCTGCATATCTTCCAATGAGCACCTCACGTGTTTACGACAATACTGGGGCTCCCTACAACGTCAGCCGTGTCTTGGGCACAGGTTTTACTCTCGATGTCCAAAAGTACAAGGCATACTCGCCTGTCTTTGTCTCCACCACCAACGCGATTGCTTACGGATTACAACTTGGTACAGTTGTCGCTGTACTTGTGCACACCGCCCTTTTCAACGGAAAGGATCTGTGGGCGCGGTTGCGAGCTGCCAGGGACCAGGAAGACGACATTCACATGCGTCTCATCAAGAAGTATCCGGACGCCCCGGACTGGTGGTACCTGGCCATGTTCCTAATTATGCTCGCCCTCGCCTTCATCACCTGTCTCGTGTGGGACTCGCAGCTGCCATGGTGGGCATTGGTCCTGTCTCTCATCATTCCGGCCGTGTGGATCGTGCCCATAGGCATGATCCAGGCGATTTCGAATATTCAGCTAGGCTTAAGTGTCATCACGGAGTTCATCATTGGATACATGCGACCTGGCCGACCACTGGGAATGATGCTCTTCAAGACATACGGATATATTACAATGTTTCAAGGCCTTGCCTTCACCCAGGACCTGAAGCTTGGCCACTACATGAAAGTGCCACCAAAGGCGCTTTTCTGGGCTCAAACTGTCGCCACTTTCTGGGGAAGCCTCGTCCAGGTTGCTGTGTACGGGTGGGCCGTGAATGCCATTCCGAACATCTGTGAAGTTGACCAGGTCAACAAATTCACATGCCCCTATGGAAATACGTTCTTCACTTCTTCGGTGGTTTGGGGCTTGATTGGGCCAGCTCGAATCTTCAATCCAGGCATGATTTACAACTCAGTGCTTTGGTTCTTCCTCCTTGGCCTTCTCCTGCCGATTGCTGTCTTCGTATGCTCAAAAGTATGGCCTGAGTCCAGCTTCTTCAAAAACATCAACACTCCACTGTTGATTGGAGGTTCGGGGTATATTCCTCCGGGAACACCACTCTCATACCTCTCCTGGGGAGCTGTTGGGTTCGTGTTCAATAATCTGATCAAGAATCGCAGGCGCGGCTGGTGGATGCAATACAACTATGTCACCTCAGCTGCTCTGGACATAGGTCTTGCCATCTGCACCATTTTAATTTTCTTCACCATTCAGCTTACAAACACCAAGGTGCCCCAGTGGTGGGGAAATGTTGACGTGTTCAACACTCTAGACGCCAGTGTGGATCTGAACGTCCAGAAAACGGTCAGTCCTGGCGAGACCTTTGGTCCTCAGTCTTGGTAAAGTCAATGATGACGGAGACGGTTGCATAAGTGTAGAAAGATCTGAGATATACGCTACTGTGAAGAGTATTATCAAAAACATGTGGGGGTTGATAGTCCCAGAAGTATTGTGGAGATTATGTGAGATTAGATAGCCAGATTTTCGCTTGGCCAAGAGGTTTCGACCTCCAGGGTCTGCTGCTAATCAGGAGAGGAGGCAGAAACTATAGAGGTGTCTTGCTGCAGTAAACATATTAAGACCCAAGGTGATGCATGAGCAATATACGTCAACGGGAATCCGGAGCAGTCGAGTCTAGGTGGGCTAATCGTGACAGACAAGTCCCATGCTGCGACCTTCAATAAAGTTCGCTGCAAATCGGTAGCACTGTTTCGTGTATGCTCGTCGATATGCAGCAGTGTACTTCTTATGCTCTGGCATTTTTTCAAGTATGTTCAGCAGGATTTCCACCGCCGCGGCCGAGGCTATACACGAGGTCAGCTCAGATTAAGCCAAATCATGTTGGCAGGCGCGAGAAGCAGCAAGGCGACCCTAAGTTCTTACTGTCGGAAAGGACGTGTGGCACCAAGATGACTACAATTGTGTTGTTGTTCTTGTTGAGTTCAATCTGACTGTCTGAGGTCATCGCCACTTATGATATACGCAGCCCCCCCTCCTTCTTGCCTAATTGGGCCAATTTCCTTCTTCGGGTTCCACGTCACCTTGTTGCGTACAGGGCCCAATTCAACACTTACCGCCCCTCCGCAATCCGCGGAGCGAGCTCGAGCACCCTTTTCAGACGAACACTATGGTCAGCCACAAAGTTTGGCTCACGGCTACCATCGCGGTTGCCTCCTGGACGCCAGATCGCCTCTGGCTGCCGCCAAGCGCCCCTCGAAAATGCCGTGCCCCCTTGGTGAACTTTGCACCTCCAACCAGAATGCTTCCGACGGCTGCTGCGCTGAGCCACTCACTGAAATACGGCGAGGCGGAATCGAAAAGGGCGATGAGAGCGGACCAGTTCAGGTTTGTGGCCATGCACCGCCTAGCTCCTCCCTTAATTGGCCTACTGGCTGCGTGAATCGAGGGCTGCTGGGCCAAGAGAGAGCCCACTTCCGGTGCCAAACCTCGCCATCCTCGTAGTGTCCGCCTCCAGAATGCCGTCGCCATTCATAGGCGGTCGCCATGTGAGGTCCGCGATGGCCGGTGGTACTTGTTACCTCGAGATGGGTACGCCTCGTCGGATGGAATTGCTACAGTACAGAGGCCGAAGAATTGCATGTGGGCTGGGCTGGTGCAAGACTACGCTCCGTCCAATCAGGTTCGCCGGGCATCTACCCGTAGTCGCCGAAGAGCTGTCGGAAGTGGTTCTCCTTCTGCCAGGGTTCCTATACCGAGGGCAGCATTGCGCCGAGGGGTGGGGCTGACAAGGTGAAACCTAAATTGCGGAGTCACTGGTAGGGTGGCTGGGAGCTCCAACAAGACTTGCCGCCGTAGGGGACTCATGATCCCCGCGAAATTCTCTCAAGGTGCGGAGGTGTAGAGTTTCTGCCGGCGTAGTCGGCGTGTATACAAGTTGAAAAGCGAAAACGGGCTGTTAAATTGTTTCATGGGGGAGGTTGTGAATTTCCTTTACTCGACTGCATCAGACAGATGACTTCCAGAAATAATGTTGTTAGGAGAGCATCGTGGGCATTTTCGTCAGTGGCCATGTTTCTTCGATACTCTTGAAATTTCTCGAAACCAGGCTGATACAGGGAATGCGGCGCTATCCCGTCGAAAACGAGTCGACTGCAAGGCACATACGGCAGATCTCACGCTCAGGAAAGCTGGAAAAGCATAGCGAATCTCTAGGAATCGAACGAAATGAGTTGTTCGAAAAAAACAGCACAAAACGCACTGGGGGCGGTAGAGCAAGGGGCAGATTCGTCAAAGACACTCCTGCGCATCGCGAAACGGGTATGAACGAGAATGCAAAGCGCCATCGGTCACCCCAGTGTTGAAGACACATGGTCAAGAAGGAGAGGCTGGCATTTTCGCCACAGCCAGGTGGCGCGACATGGACTGAATCACATATAGATCAGTTGCTCAGCGTTACACGAGGGCTGTGAGAACAGAAACGATGAGTTAGATTAGATTCCAGATAGTCAGTACTGCAGTCGTGTTCAACTCCATGTTGCTACACAACGAGAACTTGGATGGCGTAGTATGGACACCCTCTAACAAAACTACACATGTATATTCCTTATATGAGATTTCCATCGTGATCCCAGGGGGGTGCAGGGGATGAAAGGTTTCTAATGCATCGCATTATAGCGTAGAACAGTAGGCTAGACTCATGCACACTTCAGGAGAGTCTTCTTCCACCAATTCTCCTTCTGCTCCATCGTGATCTGTACCGTGGCTGGTTTCGACAGCATGTGACCTTCTGCTGGAATCTCTAATAGTTCCACATCCGCTCCGTGGTCTTCCAGTGCCTGATAGACGCGGCGGGCCTGTGCAATAGGAACAACCGTATCCTCTTGCCCGTGTATGAGCAGCAGCGGCGATGTAATTCCTTCGATATGGTGTATGGCGCTGCGTTCATGATATACCTCGAGCTCTTCTTTGTTCGTGGGTCTTTGAGGAGGGTATCGTAAGACGAACGCAGGCACAATATCTGCCTCGATCTTATGAATGCTCATATCGAGTGTCTCCAAGTCGCTTACTCCACACAAGCAAACGCCGCCAGCAAACTTTTTCGAGTATTTCGACAGAACCTGGAGAGTGGTATAACCACCTGCACTGGCTCCTGTAATCCCTATTGCTCCGGGTTGCACTCGCCCACAAGCAAGCAGGTGATCAGAGAGCTCAATGACGTCCTCTGTCTCTAAAATCCCCCAGTTGCCAAATAAGGATTGCCGGTATTCTCTGCCGTATCCTGTGGAGCCAGCATAATTGGCTTGAAGATATGCATAGCCCCTTGATGTGAAATATTGAACTGGCAGACTGAGACCACAGCCCGCATGGCTTGTAGGCCCGCCGTGGGCTTCGATAATGAGCGGAGGTCTCGCGTCTTGCGGGGCCATGTAACCACTGTTACGGGGCATCCATAGAAAGCCGTGAATGTCCCGTAATGGTAAACGTTTTGAGCGTATGTGGATAGATTGTGGTTGTGAAAATAGGTTCGTAGGAAAGTATTCATCCACCGACCTTCGAAGCGCTTCGCTGCTTCCTGGGCACGCAGTAGTATCAATGCGATAGACTGAAGTGCCTTTGATCGTGCCAGCACCAATGACAAGCGCTGACGTGCTATCATACCTCCACACCGCGTCATGGGAGACTTGGCAAATGTTCTCGTACTTGGCAAGCTGTTTCCACTTGCCTGTAGTTATGTCGATAGATATGACGCGATTTACTCCGTTAATAAGTGGCGTAGCTAGTATGTGGTCTTTGTCTAGGACAGTGTACGTATTACTGTTATTTCATGTCAGTCTCTCCCAACGAGATCGGGGTCGAGTATAAATCGCTCACATTGATTCGACATGTCCGGCGAACGAGAACTCTGCCTTCTCCAGGCCAGTCAACTCAATTGGGATGTGTTGCAAGCTGCCAGGCGGAACCCTGAACAACTGACGGAACGAGTTAACTTCCTTAGCGAAGAAGAGAGAACCATCAGGGCCCCAGCGAGGCTCGGCAACACTTTCGTGGTCCATGCCCGCGACTAGACGTGCATTCTTGATCGTTCCATCTTGGGACCAGTCGGCGCAATATAGCTTCACATCTGTGTATGGGAGCTCAGGGCGGTTGTATTGGGTCCATGAGAGACGGGTCCCATCTGCATTGAAACGTGGCTGGAAATAAAAGTCTGCTCCAGTCAAAATTCTTTTAATCTCGCCAGTGTCAGCATTGATGGCCACAACGTGGTTCTGCGTGCCTTCTGCGGTGCTATCCGTACGATCCTCTTCGACTGCGAGGCTCCAAGACGACGATACATTGGTAGAAAAGCTACCATAGTGTAAAGCAGGACTTCCAAATACTTCGGTGACTTTTCCCGAGTCAGGGTTCAATAGGCAGACGGTTCGATCTCGATTGGAGAAAATGATGCGGTCATCTGGTAGGACACCGAAAATCGCGGAGCCGTAGCCGTAGACGCTATTTTCTGCGCTAAATTCACTTGGTAGAACCGTTCTCAAACCAAACTTGGTTATCTCCATAATCGTTTTGCGGCCGTCCAGAGTGGTTTCGCCAAAGAAAGCGCGACCAGATTGAGGCTGTGGTGCTGGTCAGTTAATGCCTGATAGTCTCATTGTAGATCTGGAAAAAGGATCTAGGTCGAAAAAATGTAGGTCTCGCACGAATAAATTGCACGTACATTGACTCTTGGACAGGTAAAAACCCTGGCCATGGATGCAATTGCTTGGACGGTGATCGGGGACACCCATGTCCCGTAGGGTGCCACGGCCTTCATTGTAGTTCGGCGCTTCTGAAAAAAAAAAAAAAAAAAAGGGCAAGACGAGTGTTGTTCGTAATTTGTGTGTTTACCAGGAGTTTAATATTCTGTTTTTGACTTGGGAAGGGGACCATTCATTTATGTTCTTGCGATCAGTGGGAGTGAGAAGCACGCGGGCGCGGTCACAGTGGTTCGGAGTTCGCTCCCGGTGGCTCCAAAGGTTGGGACCGACGAAAGATTGACCAAATGCCCAAATGCTGGCCGGACCCCGCTCTCCAGTGAGTCACTCGGAAGTGGCTTTGGCAAATCTTCCGGTTTTCGGTAAAGGCTCCGAAAAAGCCGAAAACAAGTAATCCTGCCTGAGCCAAGCACTGGAACATGCTTAAATCCTCTCACATCTCCATCCCGTTGTTCATGACAGCACCTGACGGAATCGAACTCTGCAGCATCCTGGGCCCCGTGATCTACTTACAGGCTATGGCGAAGTGGCAGCAGACGAAACCCTGGGGAAGCTGGGTGATGCCAACCGCTATCCACAACACCTCAGAATGGCACGCTTCCTCGGAATATTTCTCCAAAATCCACAGTCCAGCCTTCAACAAAATCTCCGGGGCATCTGACCCTCAATCATCTCCGTGTGGAAAGTATTTTGCTTTCACGGGAAGTACGCGGAGGGCGCTAGAAGGGAAACCCATTTCGCGCGTCTGCATCACCGATGGGCAAAACCTTAGCATCATTCAAAACCTGAATGAAGATAGCAACGACCATTCGCCTAAATGGTCTCCCGACGGCAAAAAGTTAGCCTTTCTCTCAGACCGCCATCAAGAAGGCAGATTCGCCGTCTATCAAGTCGCCTGGTCAGGGATCGAGAGCAGTGCGGAGAATGTCGAGCGGCTGGTGGAGGATCCCCGGGGATCACTACATCATCTCGACTGGTCACCTAGCGGCAGGCAATTGCTTCTTCTTGGGATTGAGACAGATGTTGCTTCAACACAAGACTCGGATCAAGCGCGAGATTTTCTTGGCAAGGCCCCTTCGTGGATGCCAACCGTCCGGACGGCGCGCTGGCAGCGGCGGTTCGTCTCGACTTACGACTGGAGCTCAGACAATCTTCGATCCTGCTTGTCCAACGACCTCACCATCTGGGAAGCCGCCTGGTGCGGCGAAGACGCTATTGCCTGCATTGTGTCTGATGAAGGGACCGAAAACGACTGGTATCGAGCTCGGCTGTCGTTGCTGGATGTGGTTTCTGGATACAAGCAAGACGTGTACATCCCTTCTGCACAGCTGGGTCTACCAACTTGCTCCCCAGATGGCGACAAAATAGCCGTGGTGGTGGCGCTATGTAGCGACAGAGGCGTGGTAGCTGGGGACATCCTCGTCATTAGTCGCGGTTCCGGCACTCAGCAGCAAATTCGCCCCGCGGAAACTGACGTAACATGTCTCAAGTGGCGCGACAATGAGACGCTGTTTTTCATCGGCTTGAACGGTTTTCACATCTCCGCTGGTGATGTCGAAGTTGCCTCGGCGATTGTACACGATCGATGGTCGAGCAAAGAAATGTGTGGGCAGATCTATCCTGTGGCGTCGCCTTTGGAAGAACGCGGGTCATTCTGCTTAGTTCTCGAAGGGTGGAATCGGTATCCGGAGCTGTGCGTGGTCGAACAAGACCATACAAAGCCAGTTTTGTCTTTCGAACATGCAGGAAGCAAGTGGCAACGGTCACAACTCGGTTCCATGGTAGAGCGTACTTGGAAATCCAGCGACAATCTGGAAATCCAGGGATACTTGTACCTCCCCGCTTCCGGGAAGGCTCCGTATCCTTTGATATTGAGCTGCCATGGGGGTCCGGTGTGGTGCTTTCGCAACCGATGGCCGGGAAACGCTTGCATCGCGTTCCTGGTTTCTCAAGGTTATGCCGTCCTGACAGTTAATGAACGTGGCTCCTCCGGAAGAGGGCAGGAATTCGCAAGGCTGGTATTAGGCGACACCGGGGGCCAGGAGACATGTGATTTTCTGGCTGGTGTTGCAACTCTGGTGGAGGAAGGTATCGCCGACCCGAACAGACTTGGGGTGACTGGCGTAAGCTATGGAGGCTACATGGCGGCATGGCTGATCGCGCAAACCGATATCTTCAAGGCCTCTGTTCCTGTGGCTGCAGTCACAGACTGGAGATCCTACCATCTTGAGTCTAACATTGCCTTACAGCCGCAACTGTTTATGGGTGTTGATCCCTACGCACAGGGGGGGCTCTATCATCAGCGAAGTCCGACCATGGCAGCAAGTCGCATCAAGACGCCTGTGTTTCAGGTCGCGGGTGGACAGGACCAATGTGTACCCAGATCCCAAGCCTTGCAATTCCACCAAGCCCTCCTCGAGCATCAGGTGCCGTCAGCGTTGTCGATCTATCCCGACGAAGGTCATGGAATCGCGAAATTTCCAGCATTGATCGACTTTTGTGCGAGGACATTGCTGTGGTTCAATCGGTACCTGAGTGAAAATTAGAAACCCCCGTATTAGTTTGGACCCATCAATGGCCAGACTCCGGGATGCAATCTGGTACATGTTGGGAAGAACGAAGGGCGGGAGGGCGCCTTTGACCTTGGATACAAATGCTAGAGCTGCTCGTACTGCTTATGGAGTGCTGAGTGGACTAGAATTCTAATGCCTCACCCTCCAACTTGGTTTAAATTCACATGCACCAAATAAACTAACTCAACTTGCCCGTAGTGCTGAGATGACGGCATTAATTCCGTTTCAGGCCTCATTCAACATCGTGCGGAGACCACCAAAGCGACTGGCTGCCTGGATCTTCGATCCCAAGCTCATCGAGACTTTCGAACGTCAAAAACTCATTGATGTCGGGAGCATTCAAGATTGCTGCGATATCAAGGTTGTATTGCGTGTGTGCGTCATCTGGCTCCGTGGTCGCCGTCGCGTTGGTGATGTCTGTAGGCTCTTGCCGCCGGACTTCGGTCGCATTTTCTCTATCGGCTTGAATGGGGCATGATTTCGCCTCAGACTGTGTAGCATTGACCTCGCCCGCTGAGCCTTTGCATAGTTCCAGATCGTGCTTCAATTCGGCCAGTTGCTCATAGTAGCCCCGCGCGGGAATATTTCCACTTGTGCCCATAATCCGTAGCATGCTTGAGGAACCCTCCAGCAGTGTACGACTGGAGTTGGTGGGCTTCAGTGAGTGGCTCATGGCAAGTATGGTAGCGGCTGAAAAGAGATATTGAGAGTCAAATCCTCCGAGTGTGACAATTTGACCGTTAACCCACAAGCGTCGCAGTAGTTTGTAGCACGTGGTTGCTGCAGATACGCAAGCATCTGCTAGAGCCGGCATTACAGCAGAGCACGGCCCATGGCTAGCCCGTACATGCGGTAAAGTCGCCTGGGACTGGAAGTGCTGGAAGAAGACAGGCCTCGTTGTCAACACAATGCACTAAGGCTCCAGTTAGCGTTTCGGTTACATGGCTTTGGTGTGAAGGCACGCCCCTTGCACGTCTTGCAGCGGAAACTGCGTATGCGAGCCAGCGTGTGTGTGGCTGTGGGGTTGATGTAGGGATGGCTACCTACGTGATTGCAGTGCACATGGAGTGAGGCGAGAGCCCTCCCGGGACATGCTGTGGATGCGATCTTGGCGAGCGAGAGCTCATCAGGCAACGACTGAATAAAGTCTTTGAGCTGCGCCAGGATTTTCTGCACGTTTGGTAGGATGGCAAATCGACTTCTTGGTTGGTAAAGGTCCTGCAGAATCGACCCAGCAATGCGTGCCATGGCGATGCTGGAGAGGATTTGCTTGGGGTCTGGCAAATCTTCGAGATCGTCTGAAGTCAGGTTGTTGTGCGATGGCAAGTTCACGCTGATGTCCTCATCCTTAATCATAACCGGGTGACCAAGCTTCAATGAGCACAGACGATCGAATGCATAGACTGTCCACCACACGCGGCGCCGATGCTCGTGTTCGAAGGGTGAGGCGAGTTGTGCAGGAAGTTCGCGGTGAAGGCCCAAAGCCATGCTCAGACGCATTGCAAGCCCCGTAAAGATGTATGCGCTATTCCTCCGATTCAAGGCGTGTGAATAATACGACTAGCCCAGTAAGAAGTCGTCAGCCGGGTGGATTCGATCAAAAGGTGGAATGACCGGCGACACTGACCAAAAGAAGAACAGTTTCAATGTAAGACACGGTTGGCTCCTCATAGAGGTCCTCAAATAGATCCAAAGCCCGAAGGAAGAAGCCTGTACCGGGAATGTCCGCTTGACTGCGATGCGCGCAAACTGGTATATTTGAGTACAGCTCGCCCAGAGCCAGGATGGCGAATAAGCCGCACAGCCAGACGGGGTCTTTGGGTGTACCGGGTTTGTATACTTCGTCGAACTGATGCAGAAATGTCCTCCGAAGGAACATATGGTATTCGCTGCCCACAAACCGCTCTGCTGTTTCGATAAGTAGCATTGCGTAGCCTTGGTCAGGTAGGTCCAGATCTCTGTCCACCAGCTTGCGCAAAGTGTTGGTTTTGAAGTAACGGTCGTGCTTGGGGGGCGCGATCGAGTCATCGTTCCTAAGGTGCCGGCGCACTCGCGTATTAAACGCCTCGCAAGCGGCGTCGCCGACGTAGGAGTAGCGGGGCAACAAGTCGCCCTCGCTGGTATATCTCACATGAAGTGGTTTAGTCGCATGCGTGTCAATGTGTTCAATGGCAACCAGGTCCGTTCCAGTGGCAGCGGATGAAAGAATTTCCTTAGTAGCCGTCTGGTCAGTGGTAATATCTTGCTCCGGTGGGTTCAAGACAGGGCTGCGTGGGATGAGCGAGCCTTCGGCGTCAACAGGATGCTCCTTGTTAGAATGTCGGTTTGGTCGCAACGCCTGAATTTCGGTTTCCAATTGGTTCAAGTAGCTGCAAGACTCAGCAAGGTGCACAGCCATAATTCCTTGGGCGACAGGCTTGCCTTTCTTTAATAACAACGTCGCGGTCCCTTGGGGGATACACACAAGCGACAGGATGTTTTGACTGCCGGCAGTTGCGACATGGCTGCTCGCCGGAACACTTTACCTTACTCGTTCGACAGCGCCGGCACCTTGAGCAGGAAAGCTGTTAGCCTGTGGCAAGGAGGACGAAGACGAGCAGACCGCGGCACAGCCTGGTAACGAACCGACGTACGCAAGACTGGTCTTCTGTTTCTTTTGGATGCCGGAGGGGACGCTTCCCAATGTGTGGCGGGACATCCTCAGTATCGAATGATTCGCAGTAGGCGACGTAGTTTCGGCTTCAGAGGCGGGCATTTATTCCATTAATGATGAATCTTCTGGGTAAGGACTTGGTCGCTCGCGCGGGAGGGGGTAGTGTCTGTTTTACCCTCGGTCGAGCCGCGAGCCAGATCGTTATATCCGAACCCCCGCGCTCATGCATACGATTAGTACGGTACGTCCAGCTGGTTGGTCTAGGGCGGCTTCCATCGGTAGAATGGTGAGTCAGCATGTCGAGTTCGGAATACATCCCGAGAACGCTGCCAGCCGCGGCGCCCTGGGCCATCCGTGTCTGTGGTAGAAGCCAAAACCTTGGAAAGGTAATCGACCCAAGGGAATTGTCTGGTTCTTTTAAAGAAATTGTAATGCAAATATAGCGAGGCTTGGCAAACACTGCAAAGCAAAGTTGAGCCGTCCTGGCCAAAGCAGGTCTGCCGAAAGAGACCAGTCTATCGACATACCTTGCTTGCCATACCTTGCTTGCCATTGCCTGTCGGATAACCCAGGCGGGCCACAAATGCCTGCCGGGAAAACCCCCTTCACCTTCATCCCTCTCTCTGGAGGCCCACACAGGTGAGGATGCGCAGCCCAGCCGCCCTCCTCTTCACGTGAAGATCGCAGTGTGTGGTCGGGTTGCGCATCAACAACGCTGCTGCCACGGTCGCACTCCTGTGGGCATGATATGGTTAAATCGGACACGCTGCAGGCCACAAGCTGTGTTCTTTAAATCACTAACCGCAACCCATGGGAGCCGTCGCGTCGCGCCAAGGAAGAATGTGGCCGACGAGGTGAGAGCCTCCTGGCAAGAAGACATTCCGACTACCGGACTCATACTGGGGCCTTGCTGGTACCGAAGTGATTGACAGATGATCCAAATCGGTCGCCAACGGAGCGCAGATGGAAAGGCTGAGTTTCTACTGGGAAGAAGCGCCGACCCGACGACAGCTTCGGAAGAATAGACCCTGGGGCAGAGCTGTGGGCGGGGTCAGGCGGGAGAGACGGATGGTCAGCAGCCGTCGGCGCTGTTGTACGGGTAAGAAAACAAGACTGTCAATAGAAAAGTATGTCAATTCCAAACGTAGTCTCATTCGCCTCCGTGATATTGCCTTCTGGATTCAACCTGGTAAATTCAGCGGCAGGTACTTGTAGTATGCAAGCAATGGCCGTGCGCCCCAGCAGGCCAAGGATGCCTGAGACGTCTTAAAATTCGCCTGTGGGAGTTAGGAACAAAAAGCAGCCATACAAGTACAGTACGTAGAACTGCCTGTCGAGAAACACTATTTCAGGAATACGGAATCAATTGTGGCTTAATCTATCGGTATTTCTAGTACTTTCTCCAGTTGACATGTCGTGCACATTTGACCTGCTCGTGGGAATACTGTCCGCCGCATCATGACCCGAGCCTAATGGGGAACGCAGACTAGGCCCGTGCATATGAAGTCCTGGACTATAACTCTGGTGGTCGTAGGCGGGTGATCCGGTCCTTGCACTGGCTTTGATGTCGAGGTTTCAGTCATTAATCTGGTCTTCCTAGTACTACAGCTAGGAAACCTGGGCTCAATGAAATCGCTACATCTTCGCTGATCCCTTGGACGCAGTCACCCAAAAGGCTCGCTTGTTGAAATGAGCATGTTGTGTTGATTGAAGAAGAAGAAAGACTGGTGCTAACCAGCGGAAACTATTGACAATAAGACATCCACATCCTCGCCACCAATGGATCGGAATAGCCATTGATCCGTTAAACAATGGATCTCAACATCGCTTCCTTCTCACTCTCGTGTCACATTCCCGTCGTGAACGAGCCTTCATGTCCAACGTCACCTAGCTATCGAGAGCAGAGGTGCTGACCAACTTGGACGCAACCTCCAACAAATTGGACTTGGCCACGACGTGGCTCCCACTCGAGGGCACGTTGCCCGCATGCATCCTGCCCACATTGGAGAGCACCACGACAGCGCAGTCGCCGCCCTCCTTCCACCAAAGTGCTGCCGTAAAGCCCAGCACACCCCCAAAGTGGCCGAGCCACTCGCCCCCACCGGGCCGCTTTATGCGAAAAAGACCATGGCCCATCTCCTCGCCGTTGGCCGCCGGCCGCCACTCTGTCATGACGGCGAGGGACTCGGAGCTGAGGAGCTTTCCGTCCCGCAGCGCAACCGCAAACGTGGCGAGGTCCGTTGCCGAGGAGAGGATCCCGCCTGCAGTCCATTCGGTGGACAGGTTCGACCGAGTGCAGTCGATGAGGCGCTCACTCATTGGGGGAAATGAGGGACTTGTACCCGCCGCGTCGCGAAAGGTGTCCGTGGCCCAGTGGTAGCGGCTCGGGAGGAGGCCCTCGCTGGGCGGACTCTCGAAGCCCTCGAGGTAGGTTTGCGTCATGCCCAGCGGGCTGAGGACTCGGTGGCGGATCTCGGACTCGGCGGGGCTCCGCGTGACCTTTTCGATAATGAGGCCGAGCAAGGTGTAGTTGGTGTTTGAGTAGTACCACCTGCCGGGCTCTGGGGCCGTCTTCTTGGGCCGCCGGACGTAGTCAAGGGGCTCCGTCTTGGGCCAGATGTAAGAGGGGTCCATCTCGCTGCCACGGCCATCGCGGATCCACGAAGGGTCGTCCTCCCAACTGTCGATGCCAGCTTCGTGGCTTAGAAGCCGTGCCACAGTCGCTTCCCCGGCGTCCACAATGTCGCGGTACACACCGGGCTCGAGCAGGGCACTGACCGTGTCCGACAGCCGCAACTTGCCTTCGTCGACGAGCTGCAGGACGACCACGGCGACAAAGATCTTTGTGATGCTGCCGATGCCAAACAAGTGCGTCGTGTCGACTGGCTCCAGGCTGCGCAGGTTAGAAACGCCGCTCGTGAATGTCCACGTCTTGTGAAGGGAGGACACGGCGACAGACAGCCCGGGGACACCCGCGTGGACGCTGTCCCGGAGGATGGCCTCGATCTCGGCGACGTGGTCCGCCGTGTCGCCGTCGCGCGCCATGTGTGACGTTCCCTGCGCAATTCAGTGTGACTTAAGTAACAATGCCGAGCAGAGATGGTCGATACTGGAAGTGAAAAGAAGTAAAAGTAGTCGATGAGCTGGAGCAAGAGCTCATACTTCTGTTGATGACGAAAACGTCGGCACGATTCAGTGATCAAGAGCCTGCTTCCATCGAAAGAAATGGAGCGAGGGAGCTGATCAAAGATACGTATCTATTGGTCCCTATTTGCTAAGGCCTCAGTTTCTTCTTGTCAGCACTGGACATAGCATTCTTCCAACGCTGCCACACCAGAAAAAAGATGCCCACCAGGGCGACTAGGGCAGTCTAAGAATTTATTTTTTTTGGTTTAAAAATAAAAATAAAAAAATAATAATAATAAATAATAAAAAACAGATATAGTAACTCAAGAGGTGGCCAACGATTCAAATCCCCTTGTCCCAGGAGACCCTTCGTCCCAGGAGGTCAACGAATGGTAAAAATTAGGAAGCCGATTGGGGGCTGAGGAATGGTGGGGCGTATCCGGCATCTATTGAAACTGCCGCCCGAAACCCCAACGCCATGACGTAAGTAGAATAGCGAGCACCAGGTCTATAGACGAATGATACAGGATAAAGCAGAAAAACCCCCGAGCCCCCCTCGGCTTATGAAAATTTGCCGAATCTAGGCGACTTGATGGGTTATCTTCAAGCAATCAGAGCTTAATTTGGTTATCATTACTTAATATGGAATCAGAACCCTATTACCTATGATAACCGTCGGCTGAGCTACCGACAGTTTTTTTCTATGGGAGAATTTTTTCGCGCTAGCAGACCATGGGGCTGTCAGACACGCATGTTCGTACAATTGTCACGGCCATGACATAAACCAAGGCGGTCACAACCGGCAGAGAACTAGACCCGCTAGAACAAGCCAATCAAAAGGAAGGAGGAATGCAAGTCGAACGCAGTCGGTTCGACTCAGTTCGACTTACATATCAAACGGGGTTAATTCGACTCAGTTAGACTTAGGAAATAAGATAGTATATAGTACACGCCTACTCGCACTTTCTTATATACTAGCTACCTTAGCTATTAATATAACTTAGTTATACTTAATACCTTTAAGTATATTACTAGACATAACTTATACTACCCTTTAAGATAACGCAATATAATCTAGTGCTAATATTGTTACGGTTGTGCCGCCTTAGGGCGCCAAGCGCCCTGCAGGGTAGCCGTGATATACCGCGTTAGGCAGTCATGACCTCGATGGATCGAGGTCATAGGTGACCTTTTGGTCAAGTGGCTAACTAGCCTTGCTACCCTGCAGCCACTGCCTAGCTGCCGCGTAACAGTATAAGTTATACCTTATTTTTTTACTCCCGGGGTCTTAAGAGCTCTTCCTAGCTAAA